TAATATGGTAGATTAATTTGTCTGAGAGAGTCTTCAGTACTTACATGAACAACGAAAGCTCCAGTTCTGTAGAATGGAAAGAATATTATGAATTTTAAAGGCTGCATAAGCAGGCAATCGTTACTCCCAGCGTCTGCGTTGAATTACTGAGGAAGAGGCCATGTCCCAGCCGAGATTAGGACCCGGACCTCCCGTATGCTAAGACGACCGCCAGTAAAATTCGGATTATCTTTCAGAGCTTAACTTTAGCAGAACTAGTTTTCCCTTCAGGCGACAAATTTGGTTGAATTGCTTTTAAAATTCAACTTTATTCCCGCCTCTTTGCTTCAAGGCCTGGTGTAGTTCGCTTCGTGGCCCTGTCGTCATGGCAACGCGTTGAATTACACTCAGCGCCCATGCATTCTATAACCGAGTTTCACAGACTCGTCATACGTAGTACTTAAGCTCGTAAGCTGAAGGCGTGTTACAGGCAGCACCCCCTCCCCCTCAAAAATGCGGAGCAGCGCAGATTTGACGCGCCTCAGTAACACCAAAAGTTGTAAAATATCCCTCAGCTTTGTTGAATTTAGTAGAACGTTGCCGTGTTGATGTATTGTAATTTGACGCATCAAAGAATTGGGTTGTGTTACCGTAGTTTATGAAGTATAGAAGTTTTTTTTTAACGCGAGTTTCATCTTGTGTTACTTTTCGTTTCATAATTTTGTAGTCTCCGTTCGTTACGTTTTTCCATATTCTGTCAAATAATCGACTTCTCCTGTGGCCCTGGACTTATGGGACACTCCCGATAGGTCCCAGTGTTTCTGAGAATTGATCTGAGTACCGCGAGACACACCGGTGGGTCGTCTTTATGTAGACTCAGTCTTCGTGGGTGAAATCGTGTTTGTAACACACCAGCGGGGAAAGGAAACTCACGCGAGGTTCGCAACAGCCACCGACTGTCACGCGGTTCTTATGCTAATGTTTTTCTCACTTTCATTTTACCTCCGTAGGGTTAGGGTCACCGGTGAGTCTCAGGACGAAATTCAAATCTGACAAAAGCCACTTAGGGGTCGACGTATTAAAGGTTTTCATTGCAGGGTGTTTGAGAAACAAGCAGGTACATTTACGATTTGACGTTCTCACGGCTGCGAGTTCGAAGATTATTGTCATCTGGATCGTAGCGCTGTGTATAAGTTCACCAACGTTTCGGAGGTCCTT